GGGGGCCGCAAAACCAACAGAACAGCCCACGGGCCGGCCTGAGAGCATTCGCGAGGTCCCCCAAAGTCCTTACACGAGGACTTGCAGCAGTAGTCCTTCTTATCGGGTCCACCTCGGCTCCGTCGTTCGTGCGATCCGTCGGCTGAAGCCGAGTGTTTGCTGAGGTGGGGGTTCCTAGGGCCTCCCCAAACGCTAGCGGGGTATCCCCCGCTACGAGGGGACCAAGCAAACCAAGCTCCCAAAAGCTTCTTTCAGGCCAGGCCTCAGGGCCTCCCATGGGGTCTCATGGGGTCTGACGCCATGGAATGGCGGGATCTGAAGGATTGATTCGTGGGATTCGATGGCGGATGGCCGGAATGGCGGCCCAGTGAAGGGAGTCCGAGATCTGACCAATCCACCCGAACTGATTCAGTTGGAGGCGAAGAGATCTAAGGAATTCACACAAGGCGTCCGTCTTGTCTCATCGCTTTCATGTACTGTAATAAGTTATATTTACCTTTGTCATCCTTTTTATTTTTGGGATTGGACTTTGCAGCTTCACATACCTGTGTTACTCAAAAACAGAAGGCTTGCACATGATCACATGAAAGCATTGAAACACAAACACACCCACCATGGGCCATCGCCAAGAACCTGCCGAGAACCACCGGTCAGAACTGGGAACTGGCACATGTCTGCTGTGCGCACATCATCGGCAGGTTGGGCGGGCACTTGGCACGTTGCCCGTGCCCGTTCTTCATGCAGCCATAGTCCTGCGAAGAAGAGGCAGGTCACGACCATGAGTTCGGGAACAGGTACAGCCAAATCTTTGTCTGTGGCGCTGGTCCACCAAAAAAAGCCGATTCCACCGGAGGGCAGATGGACTACAACTGGTCACCCGGTCCAAGGTTGCAGCTCCCGTGACCAGGATGCTTTGAGAAAGGACCTTTCTTCGACCTTGAAGACTTTCACACCGGGATCTGTTGGGAAATCAGAAAGCACCGGCCTTGTAGACTAAACCTTTAAAATCTTCCAACAGTGGGTGTTCGATGTTCAAAACCCATAGAAATAAGCTTCATAGAAGGGTCCATCTGGCCTTCACGTGGTTTTTTTTTTAAGATGAACATCCTTTGGTCGACCACCAGCGGGCCCTTGACGTCTTCCTTGACGTAGACCCCATCTTCGCAAAGCACTTGATGTGGGCGGCTGTGCGGAGTCAGGAACGGGCACGCAGAGGCCTGGCTGGTGTCCGACACGCGCAAGCCACGCAAAATGGTCGCGGGAGACTCCCAACGAGTCTCATGGGACGTGAGTGTGTCTTGAAAACATGGGAGAGACCCCGCCAACGTGTTTGGGTCCGGGTCTTTCGTGGCGGTCACTGAATTGTTGTTCAATACGCACACCAAATTAGCTTGCAGTATGGCCCATGGCTATGAAAGGCTCTCAATGCCCTCTATAATATAGGGCTATAGAGTCCTGAGATTCACAATCTCTACGTGTCCTTCCTTGGAGTCATTTCATATCAAAAAATCAGCTTGCATCATCACAGCCAGAAGCTCCTGGTTTTCCATAAGCTTTAAACTCGAACTTTTTGTACATGTCACTTCCCTAAACCGTGCGCTGGCTCACACAGCCCACCCGAGAACGTGCCTGCTCAGCCTCGTTCTCCACCACGTAGACTCGCTTGGAGGAACTCCGGACCTCCATCGCGTACGTGCCGCGTCCCAACGCAGAGCGGACCGTGGGGGGAGTCCCCGAGCATTTCGGTGAAAGAGCCGTCCGCGCGGGAGGCAGAGATGGTCTCTAGAGCGGGTGGGGCGGGTGTGGCACAGAGAAGCACAGCGATAGACCGAAGTGTTAAAACAAAAGAAACACAAGCCAATTCACCCAGGAAGCCCAAGTGGAGAGAAGCCTTGAGACCTGTACCTAACCACACTTTACAATCATTAACCCCCACTGACCCTGAAACGACACATTGCAACTCTGGAGCGAAACGATCTTTCAGGAACCGGGCCCAGCCCGCAAGGTATGATCAAACCATTTATGTCCATTGATGGGTTGGGCTTAATACCAACAAGGGCTTAATGGCTCAAACAAAGGTTTGTCCCTTTATGATCAAACCAAGGTATATCGGCACATCCATCTATGCCACACCATCTGTTGGCTTGAGCGGCTCAAGACAACGGAAGAATGGCTCTGACCAGGGCGATAAAACCTCGGAGAACCTCCCGTCTCCGGCCGTCGTGAAGGGCTTCGTGTAGAGGTTGCTGCAGCCCCAAGTGCTCAAGGGGCTACCCATCCTGGGAGGGGACACCAGTGGGGCAGGACTCCAGGACAAGTTCTTGCATCTTCTTGCCAAAGACCAACAGTTTGGTTTGTGGTGACCCTAAAGTTACATCGGAAGTGGTTGTGCGCTTGCCCAGAACGAAAGCCATATGTTGCAAATCCTATAGAAAACCCAAGATAGGCACTTTGGGCGAGCGAACATTGACCCAACAAAGCCGACTCGGTTGGATCCCCTCTTCAGGAGCTAAACAATATACATGCAACATACACCTAGAAAACCAACAACGGTCCCAGGTGGTGATCGCATCCCGTTCTTGGTGGCAGTGTGGCATCACAGGTTATTCCTCAGACAGCATGCCTCTTGGCAAACTTCAAGAATCTTCTACAACATCTTTGTCAGACTTTGGCTCTGCCATTGTTCGGAGAAACGTCTGCCTGAAACAGACAGACTCAGATCTGCTATGCACTAAGAACATGGTCCCGTACATCTTCGGCAAGTTCCACTCCTTCTCATCCCAACAAACTAGGAGGTCCAAAGAGGCCTCGTAAACCTACAAAGGAAAGTCTGCTCGCCTGCGTTAAACTGATTTGGTCTCGCATGCATACTTGTAGTGTCGTCAACCTTGCTGTAGAACTTTAGACATTTAAAATGGGTCCATGCATACATATAGATCTAATTTTATTGATAAGATAAGGGATCTGCCAAGCATCATGAATGAGCCCTCCAGGTGGTTCTCGTTCCTCGCATAATGTCCACCTCGATCAGGTGCTGGGCAGCCGCGCGGATGCACGGATCTGGATCTTCTTGGGAGGACGTTTCCAGTGGGCCGAGCCCCCCGACCCGTCCCTTGGTCCAGCTCCAATGAGGGTGGTTTTTCGGTTCAATGAAGTGACCTGAAACCTTCAACTGCCCCCAGCTCAAAAGCAGTAGAGAGAGAGAGAGAGAGAGAGACAGAGCGTTGAGTGGAGGAGCTCTTTCTGGCTCAACGAGACTCCGAAGCAGAACACCCCCCGATCCGCGCCGCGGCTCCCGGGCGCCCGGACAGAGCTGCTTGCCACACTCGTTGCAGTTACTCACCCAATGTAGCACGTCCTCTCAGAGGAAAAAAACAAAAACAACGCGAGGTAGAAACCATCGGGACAGGCGGAGAGGTTCGCTAGTTCTTCTTTTTGCAGACGGCCGGAAGGTCTCTGCCGGTGTCTCTCTCTGTTTCGGTGAAACCCGGTGTCCGGTCCGCCGAGTCGTGAGTGGAGTCGTCGGAATTGGGACCCCCAACATGCGGAGAAAAGGTCGGTCCTTGTCATAGCAATGCGCTGAGATGAAGCCTTTGTTCTTGCCTCCCTTTCCACTCTGATCTTCATCACCTCGAATGGCGCCACGATGAAGAAAGCCGCGATGACCATCGAACCAGTCCAGGACGAGGAGCTACTGAAGGGACTCCGAGCCCTGCATGGTGCCACACTATTATACATGCACGTAATTATACCCAATGTGTTAAGCACTGTGCTTGAAAGTTCTCCTCCCTTAGGCTCTTAGGGTATCTAAGGCAACAGGCCAAAGACTGTAAGGATTCACTCTCCCCATCTCTCCCCTAATTTGCACCAGTTGGAAACCAATCTGATCGACATCTCTTTGTGTGTCCTTGACCTCAACTACATCTCATTTCATCCTTGTCATCTCTCCTCCTGCTCTCTCTCTCCCCATGGCGGGCGGGCTCGCCATGTCTGAGGCCACCCACTCCGCGCGAGCATTCCAAAGCACCGTCCTCTGAAAAAGACCACCTGCTTACATTCCTTCTGCGACTCGCACAGATCCTCAGAGCAGCGACTCAGGCTAAGGCCCGGATTCCTCTAGGAAAAACAGGTGAAAAAAACATGGAAAACAATGTCTTTTCGGGAGGATGAGGTGATGAGGTGAGAGTTTTCAAGGCAGGGGTGAGATCATAGTAGTCTCATGCCTGTCAAGCGGCTCAACTAGGCGAAACATGGCGAAGTACAAGGAATTTGTAGAGAAAGACATGCTCATCCACAAGAATCTCGACCCACAAGCGCTCATCCTCCAAACCTT